CATTTGTTTTTCTAAGTGAGGATTGATCATCTTACCCCGTGTCCTCTTTGAGATGAATTTTATTTATTTGCTTTGGGGTTATCTTTTCTCAGAACCTTTCTGGGCTTCCTCAGCATCTTGAGTTAATGGTCATTGTGGGGTTTCACTTTGGCTTTTTTTTTTTCCTTTTATTTCCTCTTTAGCACCTCCTATACTGTGAATAGCAAGAAAATAGAGTGTATTTGCATGCTGAAGAACATAGGTATGCCCAAAAAGGAACGTCTCATTAAAGTCTGAGGGTGGAAAGAAAAACCACAGCAATGTCTACTCTGTGAATATTTGCTGTCTACCTCAGGGTGTGATCAAATGGCTCTGCTAGCCTTCCTGCTGAAGAGCAGAGAATTGTGGCACAGGGGAGGCAGCTCCTGCCCCACGACATTGAAATGCCGTTTTTTTGTTTGTTTGTTTGTTTTTGTTTTTGTTTTTTGTTTTTTGTTTTTTTTCCCCTTTGCTCCCTCTCCCATAACATTGAATGAAATGTTGGGTTGTTTTCTTCCCCTTTATTTCTTGTTTCCTTCTAAGCAGGTGATTTTCCAGGCAATAGAAGAGTGCTTTGAATTCAGTTCAGTGACATCTACTAAGTGTTATTTTGTGCACGAGAGCTATCTGCAAGTGGTGGAAAGCCTAGGTTCTATGGTGTGTCCAGGACAGCACACTTCTGTGAATGTGGGTCCAGTCAGCTAGTGGTCTTCTTTCTTGATGTCTCTTTATAGCTACTTCGACTTTCATTAGAGAACTACCTCTGTCTTAGTTAGTGTTTCATTGCTGGGAAGAGATGCCATGACCAAAGCAACTCTTAGAAAGGGAAACATTTAATTGGGGCTGGCTTACAGTTCAGAGGTTTAGTTCGTTATCATCATGGCAGGGAGTATGAAGGCACATGGACAGACATGATCCTGGAGAAGGATTTGAGAGGTCTACATCTGGATGTGCAGGCAGCAGGAAGATACTGAGACACACTTCTTTCAACACTGCCACACATATTCCAACAAGGCCACAACTCCTAATAATGCTACCCTCTATAAGCCTATGGGCCATTTTCTTTCAACCCACCAAGTTGTATGAAATAAATGGATATCGAGCTAAATATTATTTATTATTATATTATTTATTAGCAACCCTATAATTATTACGGCAGTATTCTTTTTTTCACATTTTTTATTAGTTACAGTTTGTTCACTTTGCATCCCAGCTGTAGCCTCCTCCCCCACCCCCTCCCAATCCCACCCTCCCTCCCCATTCTTCTCCTATGCTCCTCCCCCAGTCCCATGACAAGGGAGGTCCTCCTCCCCTTCCATCTGTCCATAGTCTATCAGGTCTCCTCAGGACTGGCTGCATTGTCTTTCTCTGTAGCCTGGTAAGGCTGCTCCCCCCTCAGGGGGGAGGTGATCAAAGAGCCAGCTACTGAGTTCATGTCAGAGACAGTCCCTGTTCCCTTTACTAGGGAACCTACTTGGAGACTACCATAGTATTCTTTAACCCGCTATCATAATCAATAAAACACAGACACCTGTTAGATTTTAATATAGCCTATTTACCTTGAGCTGAGTAGATATTTCCACCTACACTATCTCAATAACTTCACCATCTACCTCCCAGTCCCCATCCAATGCCATCTGCCTTAACCATGCTTATCTGGCCTACCTTCCATCCATAATCTTATAAATACTTGGTTATATTTTTCATCTTGATGTTTTCTCTATACACACCATCTTTAGAGTCCTTCCTTCCAGCCCATGTGGTTTCTTCTCCATGCTAACCCATCATAGCGTCCTTCTTCCGCCTCTCTTTCCATCTCTCTGTTTCCCATGATTCTCCTGAACCCAAAGCCTGGGAACCTTAGGCATGCCTACCCCATTCTGCCCTGCCCAGGTTTTAATCAACCAATCAGGAATAATGTCTTAAGCAGGTTTACACAACAAGGATAAGACAATAACCAGATCTTGAGGACCAGTAATTAGCATCAAAATACAAACATCAGACAAACCTCTGACCCACATTTTTCTAAAGCAATCCTGATAACCTTTTTCTTCTTTCCTGCTCAATTACTATGCAATCAACACCAGGTAGTTTCCTGCCACAAGATCTCCAAGTTGGCATTTATAACGTGTACTCTTGTCTGGGGCATGGAGGCGCACACCTTTAATTCCAGCACTCAGGAGGCAGAGGCAGGCGGATCTCTGTGAATTCAAGGCCAGTATGTTCTATGTAGTGAGTTTCAAGACACCCAGGGCTATGTAGAGAGTCCAACAACTAAAGCAAATCCCCACCCCCGGCAAATTAATCCATATATCCCTTTACCTCTGGCTGAGTACACATCAACTCAGTCTCACCGTTTCCTCTAATCGGCCTCACGCTATCCTAAATTAATTCGTTCTTAGGTTGCAGGAAAATGGACTGATCCAAATTAGACCCCTGGTCTGGGGAAGAACAATGTCAGGCCAGCTGCTACTGGTGTGTTTAGTGCGCCACCTACTGACACAGCCTACCGGAAGGAAGGAAAGAGAGCCTGAGTTCTCAGGAAGAGAAAGGCAGCTCAGAGTGGTTTTCAAAGTCTGGCACCCACCAGCTTGTTGATAAACTGTATTTCAGCTTTACTCCCACCTGGGGCACAGGTTCCCAGTGTTGTGCCTATGGATTGGGGAGTTCGCAGAATACATGAGAACTCAGTAAAAAGAATGAGATTCTTACGCATCTATTGAGAAAGGCAAAAGGTAAGCTGCATGATTATTTCAGAAGGCAGAACTCTAGAAGGGTAAGTTGGCTCCGGTTGAACAAATCAACGAGAGATGCTTTTATGAAAACGGGAAACACAAAGGGATTGAAAGTGAATTTTAAAAAGGACAAGCGTAGGCAGAAAATGAGAGAGGAAGGCAGAACAGCACCCTGTGGGACACCTAGTCTGAACTTCAGCCTCACACAATCCTTTGTGTGACAACAACAAATTTATTGAAACATGCCAAGCCTTTGTCAAGCTATAAAATGAGGGATGGTCCTATTATCTCCCTGGTGTGTTAAATAGCAGAAAATATGAAAGCACCGAGCCCATGAAGATGCCTGGTAAACTGGAAGCTGTCATCCGTAGGGGAAAAGAGAAGAAAACAGCAACAAGAAATAAGAGAAGGGAGGAGGGACGGCTGGGTAGTGTGGAACCCACCTAAAAATAATGAGAGTAACAAGAAGCATTGATCAGCTTTACATTTTGGACTGAAATCGGCTCTGACTTAATGTATTCACAAGGGTGCACAGGGAGCAGACAGGAAACCTTCCTGCTTGGCACTCTGTGAGCTCGAAGAGCGCTCTATGAGAGTGCTACATCCAACACCTCCGACAGGAATTTCCTCAACTCTGTGCTCAGAATTTTATGCGCCGGGAAAGCACATGGAGCTGATTGGAGGGTGCGGCTAGGGATGGGGTTTTTTACCCACTGAGAGAAGCCATTTTTCAGCTTAGTTCACAAGGTTTGGGTGCACCTGAGCCTGCCACTGTTGGTGACAGTTAATACTGAACTGGAGAGAGTGAAAGAAATTCCCATATAACCCAAGATGCCTTCCCTTCTCACCTAAAGCTGAGTCCTCATGGCAGACCCAGAAAGTGGAAGCCAAAAGCTACCATCACCATCTCTCCTGTATGCCCTGATACAGGTATTTCTTTGTATGTGTGCATGTATAAGTGTGTTATGTGTGTACATACATGTTCATATGTGTGCTCACATGTAGCAGGAAATGGAGCTCAAACGATGATGTCAGTCATATTCCTCAGTCACTTTCCACCTTATTTATTTAATGTATATGAATGTTTTCCCTGTGCCTGGGCACTCACACTCACACACACACATATTTGTATGTATGCATATGTATGTATGTGTATATATATATGTGTGTGTGCCTGGTGGTGACGTCAGAAGTCAGAAAGGTCCAGATTGCCTGGAACTGTAGCTATGGATAGGTGTGAGCCACCATGCGGTGCTAGTAATTGAACCCAAGTTCTCTCCAAGAGCGACTGATGCTCTTAACCAGTGAGTCTGTCCAGGCCTTCTACCTTACTTATTTGAGACAGGGTGTCTCACCAAATCTGGAGCTTGTTGATTCAGCTAGGCTGGCTGGCCAGTGAGCTCCAGGAATCAGCCTGTCTCTGCTCCTTGCTTCCAGTGGTGGGGTGACAGCTTAGGTGCCCAGTTTTCATGTGAGTGATGGGAATCCAAACTCAGGTCCTCAGGTTTGAGAAGCAAAGTCTTTACCAACAGAGCCATCTTCCCAGCCCACTCACACAAATATTTCTGGGGACTGCCTAAAGGATTTCAGATTCCTAAAGCATCTGGAGAGCTGAATATTGTAACACACACACACAAACACACACACACACACACACACACACACACCATCTCCAGAGAAGCAGGGAGCCAGAATGCCCATTCCCTGATGTAATGTCCAACTGTAGTCTCAGGAGACAGCAGCCTTTGCCTGCATTGCTAACCTTTTACCAGCTTCCACCCATCCCGAGGAGAACTAAGGACCGAGAACACAGTAACATGAGCCCCAATTACCATAATATAAAAACAACTTAGTCATGTTTTCCATGGGCTTTTCCAACCCCAAACTCGAAGTGTAAAGCAGGCATAAAGAGATAAAAATACATCCATGGAACTATAAATAGATGCATACTGTCTGGATATGTGATGCCAAGTTCTGTGCCCCAAATGAGCAGCTGTCTCTAAGAAAACAAGCCCGATGGAGAAATATGAGGATTTCCCCCTTTCACACCATAGTGTGAGAATCCACTGGGAGGGAAGCTGCCCCACAGCTCGGTTTAGAAAGGGTTAAGTCCTCAGTCATCCTATTCTGAAGTGATTTATGATGATGTGTAGAGTTTCAAAACTTTTCCCAGCCCTAGCGAAGCCTTTTCCTTCCTCACCAGGTTCACTGACTCTACTGAAATGGGAAGGAGGCGTGTTTTGCTGATCTGTTAAATTCTTAGTGAAGTTTTCGTGATTTCCAGTGGCTGCTGTTGTTTGAGTTTGGTTTGGAGCAAACCTAAGGTAGCCGTGACATTTCTGGGATGGAATCCAGATGAGGAAGAAGATATAGAAGGAGAAGGAAAAAGAAGAGAAAAAAGGTGGGGAGAAATAAAGGGAGGAGAGACCGAAGGGAAAGGGAGAAATTGTCCCTTTTTTTCACATTCACATTCCTCTGTTTTCCCTCAGCCTGGAAAACATATTAATCCCAGTGCTTTTATGCCCGGAAACAAAGGGACTCAGCCAGACTTCAGGGAAAGGGTGATAAGAAAGATCTTGGAACTCCTCAGAGGGGAAGATTCAGAAATCTCTAGGAATTCACTTTAAGGAAAATCCCTGTGGCAGCAAAGGACCAACACACACAGACCCGAGAGAAACTGCAGACAAATGGAGATACAAACAGTCCCAAGGACAGCAACTTTCACCTCATCCCACTGGACCAGAAGGTAAAAAGACGCAGCCAGAAAGAAAAGGAATCAGCTCAGGCTGGGCTCCCTGGAGCTGCTTCACAAACACGAGCTGCAGCACAGCCCTTTTGTATTGCTCACCCTCCACAAGGAGACAGAGGGCTGGAAGGAGCCGACTTCATCTAGGAAACTGTCCTCGGGACCAGCCTGCGAGTTTCCTTGGAAAGCCTCTACACTCCATCTCCATGAACCACAATGTAAGTGTGCAGTCTTTGCTCTCTGCTGCTTCTTTTCTTGTTGCTTGTCTGAAGAAACGAGGTGTGAATGTTGTTATGATTGCGATGCTTGGTTTACACGGTGCCTGGTGCGTCTCCGAGCATGGCTGAGGCAGAACTAGCCTGCCTGCTGCCCCGTGAGGCAAAGTTGGATTTCCTGCTTAACGACCAGGCACTGACAATCACAGCAGCTTGAAAGGAGCACTCAGACTGTTTTCTGTCCTCTGCTCTCCCTTCTTTTTCTTCTTTAGCTACCCCTTCCCCCTACCCCCAGGCCAAAATAGATAGTGCACAGCTCTGTTTACAGTTAATGATTTTTCTTTTTTTTTCTTTCTTCCCATTTTATTTTTATTTTCACATATTTATTTTCTTTATTACGACCCCTTTGCATCCCCAAGTGGATAACACAATGATGTGGAAAATGGGACCCCGTTTCACCATGCTGTTTGTCATGTGGCTGGTGTGTGGATCAGACTCTCATTCCCCTGCCTTGGAGAGCGGCAGCCACACAGGGCGGAAAGTACCTTTGGCTTCTCCAATCAGCAGTAGGTCAGCTCAGTATCTGAGGCATGCTGGGCAGTCTCGTGGAACTGAGAAATCCGCTCAGGAAGAACCAAACCCTCAGCCTCTACAGAGGAGGAAGCGCATACCTGTGTTGAGATTAGCATCCCCGACAGCAAGGCCAGCCTCCTCAGGTATCAATGGAGTCCCAGTCAGACCTGAGTCCAGACTGATAGCTAGGAGTTCTCCGCGTGAGATGGTCCGAGATGAGGGGTCCTCGGCTCGGTCAAGAATGTTGCGTTTCCCCTCTGGGTCCAGCTCTCCCAATATCCTGGCCAGCTTTGCAGGAAAGAACAGGGTGTGGGTCATCTCAGCCCCGCATGCCTCAGAAGGCTACTACCGCCTCATGATGAGCCTCCTGAAGGACGATGTGTATTGTGAGCTGGCTGAAAGGCACATCCAACAGATCGTGCTGTTCCACCAGGCAGGAGAGGAAGGGGGCAAGGTACGGAGGATCACCAGTGAGGGCCAGATCCTGGAGCAGCCTCTGGACCCCAATCTCATCCCAAAGCTGATGAGCTTCCTGAAACTGGAGAAGGGCAAGTTTAGCATGGTGCTGTTAAAGAAGACTCTGCAGGTGGAAGAGCGCTACCCTTACCCGGTCAGGCTGGAAGCCATGTATGAGGTCATTGACCAGGGCCCCATCCGCAGGATCGAGAAGATCAGGCAGAAGGGTTTTGTCCAAAAGTGTAAGACCTCGGGCTTAGAGGGTCATGTGGTCCAGGAAGGGAACAATGGCGGCAGAGGAGCAGGGAGCACAGGCCTGGGCAGTGAGAAGAGGAAAGAGGACCCAAGGAGAGCACAAGTCCACCCCACCAGAGAGCCTCAGAGAAAACTGGCCACCACCAAGGCAGCCACTCCCCAGCCTCCCCCAACTGCGAGACCCACCACCCTTCCTCCTGCTCCAGTCACAACAGCCACTCGGGCCACATCCCGGGTGGTGACAGTAGCTGCAAGATCTACAACCACGACGGCCTATCCAGCCACCCAGAGGCCCTGGACATCCCGGCTGAATCCTTTCTCAGTCTCCCACAGACCCTCTGCAACAGCGGAGGTAACCACTGCCAGGGGCCCCACGGTCTCAGAGCAGCTCTATCCTCGGAAGGAGCAACAGAGAGAGAAGCCACAGGCCACTAGGAGGCCCAGCAAAGCCACCAACTATGGGAGTATCACCACCATGCCACCTACCACCCTCTGGGAGGCTAGCACAAGAGTTGTGGGCACCAGCCGTTTCCGAGACAACCGGACAGACAGACGAGAACATGGCCCTCAGGACCCAAATGTGGTGCCAGGTCCTCACAAGCCAGCCAAGGGGAAGCTGCCCAAAAAGAAGGACAAAATTCTCAGCAATGAGTATGAAGCTAAGTACGACCTCGGCCGGCCCACCACCCCTCTTGGGGAGGAGGAGCTACAGGTGGACAACATTCCCTCCCAGAATGCCAAGGAGTCGAAAAAGCATGAAAAGCTCGAGAAACCTGAGAAGGAGAAGAAAAAAAAAGGAAAGAGTGTGAAACCAGACAAGCTACTCAAGAGTGAAAAGCAAATGAAGAAAGCTGAGAAAAAGAGCAAACAGGAGAAAGAAAAGAATAAGAAGAAAAAGGGCAAGACAGAGCAGGATGGCCATCAGAAACCCACAGCCAAGCATCTCACTCCAAACCCCAAGAAGTCAGTGACAGACCTGCTGGGATCTTTCGAAGGCAAACGAAGACTCCTCGTAAGTAACTTCTTTGCCATTTTCCCCTGTTTTCTGTGGTTGGGGCATTGATGTGTTTGTTGTGTGTCTTAAAATCACATCTTGGACGACAGGCTGGGGCTGAGCCTGACTCACATTGAAAAAGGTTGGGGCCATGCCTTTAATACTAGCACTTGGGAGGCAGAGGCAGATGGATTTCTGGTCTACACGGTGAGTTGGTGGTTGTGAAACTCAGAGACACTTTTAAAAAATATCTTCTCTCCAGGAAGGCTGCCTCCTCCACCACTGTTCCAATTATTAAAAAACAAAGAGCAGAAAGAATCCCAGGATGGCATGCAGACTGAGTTATTTGCTCTGGTTTCTAGTGCCCCAGAGGTGTGTATGAATTTGGAGTCAGATGTCAGTTTCTCCTGAGGCTGTTTTGGAAACGAGTGTGTGTGCCCACGTTGGGGAAAGGAGATATGCAAGCCTTTCTCTGTTTTGCCTGGTATTCAGAGTACCACTAGTGTTGAGTATGTGGTCATTCATTTCAGGAACCTTCTCTTTGGGCATTATTTGCCACTGTCTGTAAAATGGTAAAAGGATCTAGATAAATTAAAAGAAAGCTTTGGGCAGGAACAAGCCAATCCTAAATGAAAGGTCTTTCCTCATCAAGGACAGAACAGCGACAGCTCTTGTCTGTGACACCTCCTGCATGTACCCATGTTTCAGAACTCCTCCAAGATTCCTGCCCCAACCCTGCCTTCTTAACAGCACAATATTAGTCCAGGCAGCCAAGGAAAAGTTTAACATGTTACACATAATACATAGCAAAAAACCAGGAAGTTCATATTGGGTGAGACTTTTCCTGGATGCTGTTTGGGGAGCCATGGCAAGCCATTGTGACCATGCCCATTCTCCCAAACACAGGTGCTGACTCCTAGCTGCATCCATCCATCTTGCAAGCCAGACAGGCACTCCTCTCTAGGGCATTTCTCAAGAGTCCTTTAGTTTCTCCAAAGTGGCCTAAATTTGACCTGAGCAGGGAGACTCTGGTGACCATGTATCTCTTGTGGTTTGAAAAATTTTAAATGAACATTTAAAATGTTAACTAGGGCCGATGCCTTTGTGGAATTTGTTCTGGAGCATGTCCTGGATTTTCTTTTCATTTCTATCAATAGTGGTGTTAGAGATTAAAAGAAAACCTTAGCTCTGGGAGAGAGAGAGAGAGACTCCCTTTGTTACTTTCTGTAGGTTGAGGTCATTTTAAACCAGAGTTTTCAAGTGACTGTACAAAGTTAGGTAATCAGATGATAGGCTCTTTGTTAAAGTCATTTAACAGCTGCTTGTATATTATCAGACTCCATAAACTGGAATGGAACTGTTCCAGTTAGTGCCATAAGAATCACTGATTTCAAAGTACAACTCTAGCTGGTTGGTACCTGAATGTTTTGTCCTAGATCCACAGAGCCAACCTGCTTCCTGGGGGGCATTGGAAAGCAGAACTTTTTGGCTGCTTTGCTCTCCGAGTACCTGGGACTTTGCCTAGCCCACTAGAGTATCCCCTCACTCAGTTCTGTCCATTTAGCCAACAACAGGCAGAGCGTTCCTCATGGCTAGATTTTAAAGACAGAAAGAAGTAATCAAGGGTGAAATGTCAGGATTGTAATTGTGCACCAGCCTGACAAATACTCTCATTGCCCCAAGCGGGTAATTCAAAAGAATGGGGTTTTCATACTTTATCTCCATGTTAGCTGAGCCTTTGGCTTCTCGGGCCTGTTCCTTGCTCTCTCTGTTAGAGTTGGAATGTCCAGCTGGGGCTTCTCTGCTTTTAACAGTATCCCTGATCATAAATTGTTATCAAATGAAACTCAGAGGCCAGCTTCTGCTGATGTCACATGAGGCAAAACCGAAACCAGCTGGGATTGCTTCTGCCTATGTTGGCTCTTTGGAGCTAGCCAGAGAATCAGGTTTGTTATGAGAAAGAAAATCCTATCAGGATACAGTTCAGTCTGTTAGTCCTGTGTGTGACTAGCTGATCATATCACCAGCGTGTTTTCTGAAGTGCAAATGATGAATGAAGAAAGAATGGGGTAGAGAAGACAAGATGGAGCTACCACGATATCAAAACAAAGCTTCTGGATTAATGACTGGAGCATTAATCGCTTTCCACTCACTTTTCCCACCGAACTCAGCGGATGAAATTCAGGAAGTGTGGTGACGCAATCAGCATTCTTTAAGGCTTGGCAGTCTTGAGCTGTTAAAGTATGGCAGAGAACGTTTACTTCTCTCTACCCTCTACTTAACCTGGTGTGCTGAATGTGTGAGTGGGGCTGCACTCCAAGAAATGGTGTGGACTTTCTGGCTCATTTCTCCAGTTTTTCAGTAACCGGATCCCTGGCTCTATTGTAAAACCCCTGGTGCTTTGTGCTCATTCATACCATTCTTTCAATGTGAAACATCCCATAGCTGCTACTTAGCCAATTACTTAGGGAAGCCCTAGCAGCAACCGTGTAAGTTGTGGTTGAGCAAATGGCTTCTTCAAGGCCTCTAAAGTGCATTGCAGATAGATCCAGGTGTCCCCCTCTTAGGCCAGAGCTCCATCCTTTGAGCTCCCTGCCTCTTGGTTTGTTAAAAAGAGCAGGTAAGACTGTCTATTGAAACTGTGTGGTTTAGTTCTCACAATTCCTACAAGGAATGATTTATCAACCCCTTTCCCCATTGAGAACACAGAAGTTTTGATTACTTGAGATGTTCACCAAAGGCATGTAGTCATTATGTAACAAAGACCACAAGCCCCACATATAGTAGAGAAATAATACATATTGGAAGAACTTTGTTTTGAACTTTGAGCATTTGAGACAAGAGAAGAAACAGTCACATTTTGTACTAAGTGCAAATGTGGAGCTACTGCCTTTACTACACAGCTTGACCCTTGTTACCCAGGCAGGTGGCGAAGAACAGTTGACTAAATCCATTTCCCTATTCCTTTAGACTGCTTGATGTCCATTTGGGAATGGCTACAGAGTTGGGGAATGCTGTTCATCACTGAAACGTTGGTCTTTGTGGAGGATAGGTAATAGACAGTTGTTATTTGGGGACTGTGCGACCCACCTACTTGTCAGCTCACAGGGAGCTTCGATATGCTGAACTGCATGAATTCAAGTTCAGTTCTCAGCTTTCGTTGGCCATGGATTCTCCTATAATCTAAGCTGGCTTATGTTTTCAACACTGTTGGAAAGACCAGGGTATTGAGATGACAATCTACTTTCGTGGTTTAGTTTTAGAAATGGAGTTAAGGTTCTGTTTTACAAGGCAGAAAGTTGGTTTATGGAATTCTTTTAAGATCTAATATTTTGAGCCTAACATAGTGCTTAGGCTAAGAAGGGACTTAAAAATATTTCAAAACTCCCCCCCCCCCGTGTCTTCTGATTCTTGTTTGCTCCCCTTACTTATACAACCAGGCTTTATTCTCCTCTGTGATTCATTGACTCAACATACCATTGGGACAGAAACACAAATAAGATCACAGCACACTGTAAATTCATGACACATGCCCAGAGTTACCTCCATCAAGCTTGCAAGAGGCCAAACAACAGGGGCAGTCACTGAGGAGTGCTATGGTGCTCTTTCTAGGAAGAGAAACCTGAAAACAGTTTCCACTTTAAGCACTGTAGGAAATGCTGCCAAGCTAGAAAATGGAGGCCACAGAGATGTCAACACTGTCAACACACAGGGACAAGCTTTGATGTGTCAGGTGATCAGCTGCTCCCCTTTCCCTGTGCAAACTCCATTTGCTTAGGGAGAAGGTTTTGTTTCATCTAGCTTATGGGCTCTGTCTAGATTGTCATGGTCAGGGATCCCCATGTTTCTGAGTTCCTCCTGCCCCTTATATGGATGGATTGATCTCTGTAAGCTTGAGGAGTGTAGTCAAGTCAATATGGATCACTGGACAGGGACAGAGGTTGAGACCTCAGTGCCTTAAGGAATTTGATGTCAAATATATATATTCACACACATACACACACACACACACACACACACATACACACACATGTATGTATATATATATATATATATACATACATATGTGTGTATATATATATATACATATACATATATATATATATATATACATATGTGTGTGTGTGTGTATGATACAAAATTCTATGTGAGCTGTGAGGACAATTAGAACTGTAATAAAAGCAGTAAGAATTTGAGATATGGTGATAGGGAAGGTGTAGGAGGCTGGAGAACATGGACAAATACAGCAAGTAGAAGAGAAGTCAAAAGCAACAGACATGTTTGTGCTTGGATGCATAGCCCATATTATCTAGGCATATTGCTCAATGCTCAAGACTTTATGAAGTTTTCACAGAGGTTTGTCCGTTGCAAAGATGACAAGGGTGAGAGGGCACAGGCTATCCAGGGTCTGAGCTAAAACAAAAATGTCAGTTCTTTGATAGTGGACTTCACCTTTTCCCCTAAGCCATTCTGCCTAAAATTACTTGTATTTATTTTTAAAATTAAATTGATTACAGTTCATTCACTTTGTATCTCAGCTATAGCCTCCTCCCTCGTCCCTTCCCAATCCCACCCTCTCTCCCTCATCTTCTCCCCAAGTCCACTGATGGGGGGGCCTCCTCCCCTTCCCTCTGATCCTAGTCTATCAGGTCTCATCAGGACTGACTGCATTGTCTTCCTCTGTGGCCTAGTAAGGCTGCTGTCCCCTCAGGGGGAGGTGATCAAAGAGCCAGCCAATGAGTCCATGTCAGAGACAGCCCCTTGAACACTGAGAACCCACTTGAACACTGAGCTGCCATGAGTTACATCAGTGCAGGGGTTCTAGGTTATCTCTATGCATAGTCCTTGTTTGGAGTATCAGTCTCAGAAAAAAAATACTGTGCCCAGATTTTTTTGGTTCTGTTGATCTCTGTGGAGCTCCTGAACCCTACAGGTCTTTCTATCTTCTCCTTCTTTCATAAGATTCCCTGTACTCTGCCCAAAGTTTGGCTATGAGTCTCAACATCTGCTTTGATACC